CATTGCACTTCTCGTGGTGATTTACATGGGAAGTAACTCCTCTGACACAGACTTCCTCCCCTCTCCCAAACTATATAGAGAACATATGACAAGTACTGTCTGGTATTAATTGTGCTCATTTTTTTTCTTGAATGAAGTTATAACACCTATTTGAAATTCTGGTCATAATAGTACCACAGAAGCCACACCTGCTTTCAGCTGCAGGCAAACTGAAGGCCAGTGGAAGCTTACCCGATGAAGTTCAGCTGTATCACAGCAACAGCATTCAAAGGTGGAAGAACAAATGAGTGGAGGAGGAGGGAGGCTTTGTGGGGGAACACTTATCCATGAAAGGCCTAGAACCCAATGTCATTTCATTGATATGCCCAACTAGAACAAGTCCAAAAGGACAGGTAGGACAGGCTACAAGAAAGTCAGTTTGGCCCTTGCAACAGGTATTTGTTGAAGATTGATATTCCAAGAACTGGATGTATTAAGAGTTTCACATGTATTTATGAATTTAAGTATTTTTGAACAGTCTTGATATGTTAAGTTGCCTAAAAGCACATAGGATATTTAATTGTAGGGAACTATTGTAACATGGAGTGCACAACAGAAATACTGAAGAATTATGACCTCCCTGAGGAATCCCACTCAGTGAGTCCTGGTTACCACAGCTCACTGTCATTCTTCCACAAGATTTTGAAGTGGTAGTAAAATAATAAACAGTAATGTATAATCAAAAATCCATATTTTAAATCTCTTTAAATATTAGTTCACTCTATCTAGAAACGGCAGGCAAGATCTCAAGTTACAAATTAACAAAAAGGGTCTCATAGAAAGTTCTTAAAAGGAAAAGGACCTTCAGAAGTTAACTCACACTCTTTTCTAAAGATAAGCAAAAGCCCTAAAATAAGGAAACCATATAGTATACTTCTACAGACCTACTCTAAATTAAAAGCAGTAATGCTGAGATAAGATAGGTGAACTCTCAAAGGAAATAACAGAAACCGATGAGACAATTCCATCTGCTGGAGAGAAGAAATGCAAGTGACTATACAGAAAGACATCTGACATTGCCAGAAGTGGTTTTTCTTTTTCCCCTCTCCCCAACTTCTGGCACAAAAGGCATAGAGGAAACTATTTTCCCAACGATTAAAAAACCGGTCTCAATCAGACAACAATACTCAACATGACACCTTCCTCAGTTCTTACAGCTTTACACAGCAAAAATTCTCACTTCAATCTCCAGTTTTAATGCAATATGCTGAGCATAAAAAAAATGGGAAATGGTAGATTGTTATAAGATACATCAAGAATAAAAGGTTATTACAAACAGATTAGTGCAGGGTGGAAATGACACAGGCTAAGCAGGAGGCATGGATAATCTGGGTAAGTGCCATGGAAAAATAAATATCATGATTGGACTTAAGGCAAATGGAAGCAGTTCAAATTGGCCTCTTCTAATTCACTGTAGAACATGTGATACCCACATGTCCATTTCTAACAAACCTCACCATAAAGAAACAAAGGCCAATACTGTGAAGTGTTGAAAAACACATCTACCACCAGCTTCTTCCATAGCACAGCAATGTGAATTATTGCAGCTGCCTGATAAGCATGAAAGAAAAGAGATGGGGAGGAGAGTTTGGCTTTTTTGGGGGGGCCATAGGGGGGGAGAGAGCTACCAGCATTTATCTGAATGAAGCATATCAACCTGTCACTAAATGTTGACCTTGCAAATAAAAGCAAATTTTTATAAAATGCAGGTTGCAGTTTTACGGTCAGTCTGCAAGGCCCAGTGCATGGCTGTGGCCAAACCTCCCCTGTCCATCTACATGCTCCAGCTTCTCCAGCTCACCTCTGACAGGTTTCTGTCACGTGCACTTCTCAGAACATCAGCTGCTTTATCCAACTCCATGGGAGGCCACAAAAATAATAGTGTTTACTTAACAAAAAGGTCAGGAGTTCCTGGAGAAGGATAGGCTGTCTCTACAACCAGCTGCCCACACTTAAATTGGCTTGAATTAATCATAAAAATAACAGCCTCACAGCAGTGTATGATCATGGCATTGCTTCCATTACAGATTGGGGGAAACAAAGGAATTTAGAAACAAACAGAAATAATAAAGACAGATATTGCATGGTGAGGAGAGACTGAACAAAGCAGTTAATAGTTTGAATTCAATTCAGACAGTGAGTGCTAAGACATAAATACTTATACCACAATCCCTGCAGGACAGCAGGGGGGACACAGGAACACAGCTGTTAGAACATCTCACTGCAGCTTCAGAGTAGGCCATTGGGTCTTGTTCTAGAATCACATTGAAGGCCCCTTTAATTAGCTCCACTATAACTTGATAACTGCTCATCCTAGCAGAGCAATCAAAGGCAGATGCAGACACTGCCAGCCAGCCACATGAACCCTGGTTGCTGCACAGACTACTGCAATCAGCATGCTTTTAGCCAGGCTGCACAGGTTAAGTTATCTAGGTTTGAGTTAATTTTGACTTATCAGCAAATTCCTTGCTATTTCTCGTGGCTGTATCACAAGATTTTAGGGCAACCTTGAGGATATCTGTACTTCTTCCTCTGTTAAAACTACTTGAAAATGCTCCTCCTTTGATGTAAGTTCAGAGAAAATACACAAGTTTCACTTTTGATTATTAGCAAATGCATATAAGAGCTCTGACATTGAATATGTGAGGCATTCCATAATTCTTACGTGAATAAAACATTAGATTTACTGGGCTGGCAAATGGTCTTGGCCTTTGAGCCTCAAACCAAGTATGCCAACTGCTAGTTCTGTCAAAACTCGGGTTTGCAGCAGAAACAAGTGAATTAACATTGACGACACCTGCGCAGTCAAATATGTTAAAACAGGAATACTTGAACAGAAAGAAGAAATGCTGGTTTTTGCCCCCACATCGAATTCCATTTTGCACCTCCCACTTCTCATTCTTTCTCAGCTGAAACTGGTAGATTTCTTTAGAGTAGCTAGAGTGTGGTTAAGCAGAGGAAGTTATGCTTGTTTGCATGGAATCTGCTATTTCCTCTCTGCCAACACACTTGTTTAAAGAAGTCATGTAATATTTCTATTAAGCTGTAAATGCAGCTGACGAGGAAATGGCCTACTGGCACTGCATTACCTTTGTGGCAGTGCCAAGCACCCTACAGCAAAACAACGTACATGGTAATTTCAACATGCATTCCCAAGTAACAAAATTGGGCCTTACATAAATACCACAGAACTCCAGCAACATCTAGAAAAAGCAATGAAAATTTGCCCAAGCTTTCATGCTTGCCTGTATCAATTCCATGTCATAACTAAAACAAAGTAGGAAAGCATCTGCATATGTCCAAAAGTCCTGTGAAGCTGTATCATATGACAGTGGGAAAAGCATTGCAACTTAAATCTGTGTATTTCTTGTTAACCACTGTAACAACTTGCTAATAAAAATTAAGAAAAACTGTGGGTATCAAATACACGAAAGAGTACTAACTGCATACAAGCCCTTAAAAACAATAACGTAATTTATTAAAAAGAACACATGTTCTATGTAATCCAGAATTGTTGTGTTAAATTTGTTTGGCCTTTGATAGCATTCATTTGACTACAAGAATTATACAGATTCACAAGCTTTCAAACTCAGTGACCTTTGATTTATAAGCAGCTATTGTCATGTATATAAAAATGCTCTCTGATAATGTAGTCCTTGCCTTTCAATAGCTAGTGCAACTACATATAGTGATGTTAAAATGAACTCTGATGTAATTAAGACATTTTCATTAGAAGTACAACCAAAAACCCCAGTATGATCAAATGTATTTAATTTGTAATCAACAGTTCTTCAAAATATTTCTGAATGTTTTTTCATCTTAAATAGTTTCCATCAAAAACAAGCTTCAGACATACATATTGTGTTCTCAGCTATCATCTGAGTATTTTCAGTTGGAACAGTCATTTTAAAATAGTTAATTAAGCTGAGAAAAAAAATATGGTGGAGGAAAATTGCTTTTCTTCCAAGACTATGTTATATTTTCACTAGCTTTAACTGAGCTGCACATTGCCATAAAACTTCAGGAAACATCTCTGCTCCAAAACGCACATACAAAAAACAAAAAAGAAAAATCAAGAACCCTACAAACAAAAATCAAGAACCCAACAGCACTAAATACACTTCAATTCATACATGCATCACCTTACAGTAGTCACATATGAACAGTACCTTCTCTTTCAACAGTGGTGGCTTCCTTATATTAAGATCCTGATACATGAACCACCAACAAAAGAAACCTGAATAAAATATTATTAATACAAAAATTTAAAAGTGGCTTACTAATACCAAATGAACTTTAGAAATAAATAATTCAAGAACGAAGTATTTATTGATGCTCAGTGCAAGCAGTGTAGCTATTTTATAGCTCATTTCAAAAACATAAAGCATGACTAAGAGTGGCAACAGTTACACCTAGATAAACACTGGTCCCCATGAACTTCTCCAAGTAATTCTTTTATAACTGCTACTTCTCATACAGCAACTAATTCTGTTTATATTTTCTATTGCTAAAAGTAAAGTAGTTAGGTGACAAACTTTAAGAGTCAATAATAGATAAAAACTGTCTGGGGTTACAAATATTAGCAGTGCTCACATAGGACAACTGTGAATCTTTTAGGGCATCTTCACTTCTGAACTCCCTTTCAAAGCCTGATGGCCCCTCGCTAACAGAACGCCAAGTCCAAGTACAGCATGGACGAGGCTCTATAATGTTACCTCCAAGTCAGTTAAGCGCTTACTGCTTTAGCTCTCTCTCAAGTGGAGATAAAAGCATTCTGAAACTTTAAAAGACATGTTAAAACAAAACTGCAGTAAATAGGAAGCAAGACAGCGAGTGAAAATCCTTAATCTTAATCTTTGTGCAACAAACATACAGGTTTATGAATTCGGATTTGTTTTCTCTAGTTTTGGATTTTTTTTGTTTAATACAACAAACACAAGAACACTACCACACAAACTTACCCTCATTGGATGAATATCAGCATATGGAGGCTTTCCTTCAGCCATTTCTATTGAAGTGATGCCAAGTGACCAGATGTCTGCCACGCAATTATAGCCAATCTCTTGTATTACCTCAGGAGCCATCCAGAATGGAGTTCCTATAACAGTATTACGTTTTGCCATTGTATCCTGTAATTATATTATTTATGCAATTAAAACAGAGATGTTTATTTGCAGATTCTTTTGATATTAATTCTGTATTTAAGTTAAATTAGCCACCCAAAGGTCAAACGGTAGTGACATCCAGTGAAGGTCAAACAGGTTCAGCCCATCCGCCTACAGAAGCGAAACAGGAGACAGTGATCATAAACCTCAGAGAAAAGTTTAAAGTCAGATCATCAGGCATTTGAAGTACACTGGGTTATAAAAATAAGCAGCTAAAAACTAAATGGCCTTGCAATACATTCAATACTCACCATGATGAAGCTCTACCACTACCATTAGTCATCCCTCAAACACAACATTCAATGCAGAAGAAAAAGTCAGAACTCAAAAAAAAAAAAAAAACTTTTAGTAACACTAAAGCTTATTTAAATGAACTTTCCACAGGTACTTACTGTTAACTGGCCAGCCACACCAAAATCAGCTAATTTTGCATGCCCCTCAGTGTTAAGAAGGATGTTTCCAGCCTTTATATCTCTATGTATTTTTCTCATAAAGTGCAAGTATTCAAGTCCTTTAAGAGTAGATTTCAGAATAGTTGCAATTTCATCCTCTGTAAGCTGCAAGACAACACAAAACCGTTTTCAGGTGTACACACAGAGTGTATGTATTTGAATCATTTAAAACATCATCATTTTATATAGATTATTATAAATAATACAATATATCCTGGGTATTTAAATACATGAATATGCCTAATAGCAATTACAATTAAAAACTCTGATCTACTAACTTAATCCATATAGCTAAATTCTTAAACGTCCACTAGATGATCTGTAAGGTCCTTTCCAACCCAAACCCTTCTATGATTCTGTAATTCTAATTAGAGCAAGCAAGCTACAAAACTAGAGAAGGGCCTGACTAATGCAGATCAGATGGCAGAATAAGCAATATTCTCGTGCCTGTCAATCAAAGCTACTACTCTCTAGATGTTCCTTCATATGATCCTTCATAAAGGATGCTGCGCAGTTTCCACAATATACAACTAATATATTTATCATTAAGATCATACATACTAATCGTGAAGTTTTGCATTACTTTTGTCAAAACAAAGGTAGCGGTGGTCACCACTGGACTAGATGGCCCATACCAGAATATTTCCCTGGGAGAAGAGATAGCCTGTTCTCTGCTGTGGAAGGCTACAACTATTCCTCAAACATCCATGCCCTTGAGACCTCCACGCAGCCTGACCAAACAACTAGCACAGTCCTACGTTTGGAACGAGATGAAAGGATTGACGTGGTTTTTTTACTTCTCAAATTCCTACATACAGAATGCCTGCTAAGTCTACAATTAGTAGTACCAAGCTTTTGTCCACCAGCTATTCCTAATTACACTACTCCTAGTTTATCACTGTCAGCAATTTGCAAATTAGAGAGAGTGAATTAAGAGCTTCTTCACAAAAACAAACCAAGAAAAGCCCCACAAAACAAAAAGCAAGGGATAAAAGCGTTCAAAAAGTAGCACAAGTTGGTTTTTATCACAAAACTTGCAAAAAATGCATTCACCAGGGATAACTTGTTACTTTTTATTTGTTGGGAGTTAATACAGCATGCAGAAATACGAACACCCAAACAGTGCCCAACTAGTTCACAGGATTTTACTGAAGTCTGTCAGGTAAACCATTCCTTTTAAAGGCTAGTGCCTTCATTTTATATGGAAGGTAAGTAAATACTGGTTTTTGAAAATAAATATTTCTCATTCTGCCTGTGCTCCATACAGACACAAAGCCACAGAACTACACCCATACAGATATGCCCTACTGACCTTCCCAAAACCCTTTTCAGCCCTGAAAAAGGACATGAAAGATTTCAGGGTTATGCTGGAAGGTGACAGTAACTATTATAATTTGTTCCTTAACTGCAAACAATTATAGAAATGATTGAGAAAGGATGCCAGCCAGATGCTGCGGCCTTTTTCTTACACCATTCTTCTTTCCTTTTTTCTGACTGATGCAGAGAATGAACACTCACTGAACTTCTACGTTCTTTCTAAATTACCTGCATCACTCAACAATTGCTAGATTATATCCTCATAGGAAAATACAATCTGATTGAATATAAGGCTCCTCAGCTGCAGCCACAAACACTCTATTTTTTAAAGTATCTACCAACAGTGTTAATTAGTTTGCTGCCCATGCAAAGGTTTCCTGTTAGTTCTTAAGTGTAAGTAATCCCCATGAACTATGCTGTAATATATATCACGTTATTATTGCACTATGAAGTTATACAGTTGAACTAACATAAATCTTAACAGAACTGGCTCCAAATATAGTTTATAATATAAGCCACGTTTTAGCAAGCATAGCTATTACTATGTGTGATATGCAACACGCTAGCCTGCAACTTTCCAAGTAGTTGCAGCCATTAGTACCTTCTGGTCTCTAAATACATATCCCTTTACATCATGTTTACCAATGCATAACGCTATCTTCTATGGCCATGCTGAATTTTTAGCAGGTTCCTTTATGGTCTTTAATAACTGTAAAAGCATCACAAAGGAAACACTAAGAATCGTTTGTTTTGCTTTATTTTTTTTTTTTTTTAAGCAGATCAAACAGGTCTTTAGGTTTAAAGCTAAAAAAATTAATTATCAATGATTAAACACCTACTAGAAATAAAGAGGTGGTGTAGACTGGGCAGTCCAAAACACTTCCTTTATTTACTACTTTGCCATTTTTATATACCATCACAAATGATACAATAAGCTGCAACCATCAACCAGCAAGAAGTTGGCATATTTCATTACCAAAGAAAATACAATACAGTTAAGGAAAAAAAATTTAAATATCAAGATATATCTTCATTTATCTGCCTCATAAACTACACGGACTACTGAGTAAACTATCAGTCTGCACAGCTGTTTATCTTCTTTGCTTTACATTAACATAATAACACACAAGCTCTTGAACAAGCATTATCAGAAATATAGTAAGAATGAAACTTTTGCAGCTACCAGACCTCTTGAGAACACTTCTCGGATTTTCATCAATGTTTATTCTAGAATAAAAGCAAAACTATATACATAATTCATTTCACATGATGCAATTTCTCAAGAAAATACAAAGAAACTATTCACGCAACTGAAATGCTGTTCAATTACAGTACACTGGTGCTTTAATGTAAGAACAAAGCAAATTAACTTTACACATTCTGAGAAATGCAAGAAACTGCAAAACTGAAGATGAATACTCTAATTTGGCTGCAACACTGGGTTGCATTTTCCTTCTTTCC